ATGAATATCTCTTCTTGTGTATCTGCTGAGAAATGATGGCTTTTGCTTATGCAGCACTGCCTGTGTTTAGTGTGAAGTAAAGAGGTTTTCAAAGGCTTCTGGACTCCTTTGGCACATCACTCCTTTAAGTGTCTTACAGTGACAATGAAAACTGTCACACAGTATGGGAAAAAACATCCCTGCATCAGGTATTATTCTTCACTAGAAAGTTATACTGTAGTTTAAATTAGCTAGGTGCTTCTGACCCCATATTTAAAACGTGTTTGCGCTGACGTCCTGAGAAAAGAGTTTCTTTATTTAATTGCACTGTTGGTGCCAATGCTTTCAGCTCAAACCATTTGGAGTTAGACCTTTTAATAGAAAGTAACAATTTAAATTGCCACGATAGCAGCATAAATGGTGCTTAAAGTCATTACTAACCTGATGCTGCAGTTGGCTCCAGACCAGTTTATTAAAGCAAAAGAAAGGTGGGGGGAGTAGGGGAAGAGAAAATTAAGCGGTGAATCATTAATTCCTTTGGTATTCACTGTAACAACAGAGCTGTGATGAACGTGTTTGCCTGTGTGATGGGGACAACGTATAATCCCATCCTCCCTTTGCCTTAACCAACACCCCTCGAGGGAATCGGCAGCACAGGTTTGAGTTTGTTTTCCCATGGGATGGTGGCTAAGTCTCCTCAGCCCACTGCCATGGCCCATGGGACGTCACCTTTGTCTTGTCCTGCTCTGGGGGCTCGTCAGGGCACCAGTTACACGGGATTTGGGCAGGAGGTTTGGGGTGAGTCCTGTTCCCTTTGCTGCCAGGACAGAGCCTCCTGTTTGACTCCTTCCCGGGTTTGGGGCAGGGGATGGCTGAGGGGTGAGACCTCTGCGGGGAGATCTCCCCCTCGGGTCTGGCACCCCTGGGAAACAGCTTTGCTGACAGGGTCCCCAGGCTCCGGGGGCAAAAGGGGTTTGACACCGACCCCCGCGGGCAGTCGGGGCACGGGTGGCTTCTGCCATGGAAGAGCTTTGCTGTCGCAGAGGGGCTGGGGAATCTGGAGAGCTGCAGTGGGTGGGACTGGCTTTGCATGCAGAGCTTTCCAGCTCCACCACCTCTTCTCGCCCCCTGTGTCTTGCTTGTCGCAGCTCCAGGGAAAGGCTTCCAGCAGAGACAGCCTGGAGGGTCTGGAGCACCACAAGATTTCTGAGCACACATCGTCTGGGAAAGCTGCTCCAAACTTCTCTAATTTGGATACATCCCTCACCACCTCTCCCCAAAGCTCTCAGGGTGTTGGGGTGGGCTCCAGGGTTGGTTTGGTGTCCAAGCCCCCTCTCTGCAGCCGTGGAGCCTCCTCTGTGGTGACGGAGGAGGAAAAGCCATCGTTTGGTCAGTCAGCAGGACTCGATTTTGGCCAGGCCAACTGAAAATCAAAAGGAAACCCTGAGATTTCTGTCCCTTGAACTGGGAACAGAACTCCTGCAGGTTCCTCATGCTGGTCCCACTAATGGGATCGCTGATTTAGGACTCACAAGCCTCTTAGTGCTAATGAGCTAAGCACTGGCAGGTCTGATGAGGCTTTAGATATAAAAATTTACCTACTCCCTCCTGTGATGGGGAACAAAAACTCACCTGCAGGAAAAGCAGCATGCATGGCCAGGGAGTGCTAGCACAGAGCACACCGTGGGGCTCAGTGGTTGAGATGGTGTCCCCAGCACTGCCAGGGTCACCTTACACCCCAGGAGGGAGTCTGGGCATCCAAACCATGCAAAACCCACCAGGATGAGGACATGGTCTCCTCAGCATTGATCCTTCTACTGGTCCTCTTCCAGCAACCCAGCCTGCTGGCTAATGCAGGCAGAACCTTCAGACTAGTTGCATATTATCTTCCATTTGCCTTACAGCCCATTGTATGTTTTCCCAAGATTTATAAATAAATAAATAGAAAAGGGGAAAAATGTAATTTTTAGGCATTTTAGGCACTCTAAGAGGCTCCTCTATAATCTGGAATTGCTTTCAAGTTTCAGAGTCAAGATCAAGTTAATTTAGTTTTCTTTAAGAACTGTGATGTACCGAAGCCCTGTGCGGGCTGCAGGTACCTGGGCAAGTGAAGGAGCCTTCAGCAGAGCCTGGCAGTGAAGCAGTGAAGCTTCCACAGCTGAGGAAACCCACAAGGAAGAGGGGGAGATCCTAGGGGAGGGTGGGATTTGCTAGTCTGTATGAGCTCGAGTTGGTAGCTGTTCCTGGCCCTTCCTCACAGCAGCTGGAATTCGGTGTGTTTATTCTCCAGTGCCCTGAATGTCTCTGGTACTCAGTGTAGAGTTTCATGATGAGTGGTTGAGGAACATCATGAGAAAACAAGAAAACAAATCAAATCAAGAGCAAATTGCTGGCTACGTGGTGTGACAGCTTCTTACTGTGAAGAGTAAGTCTGGCTGCAGGATGAACCAAGATGAGAAATGAGTCAGCATTTCCTAAAGGTGGCCAGTGAGAGTAAACTAATTGGGCTAAATATCCTGAAGGTATCTGGGCCAGCAGACACATCACCTCCTCCCTTCTCAGGCAGGTATAGAGGGCAGCAACATCCAACACCACCTCTGCCATTAGGTGTGTGGGGCAATGGGTTGGTGTTAGGTCACACACACCCTTGCAGTGGGATGGTCTGCACCGGATGGACTATTGCCAAAGCAGTTCCCACGTGCCCAGTTTAAGCATTCATAGAACAGTGGGAAACACTGTCCTAAGCCCTCTCCATCGACCAGTGCCAGCCCTGCCAGGGAGCAGCGGGTGGAGGAGCTGGGCAGGACAGTGAGGATGGGCAGAGGCCCAGCCCAGGCATTGTCCCTGCCAGAGCTGCGCTGCACTCACCCATCCCAGCAGGAGGGGAAGGGAGAGAGCTCCTGCTGGAGCTCACACATCAGAGGAGGCACAGGGGAACACCTCATTTATTTAGTTCCAAGGACAGCAGTGCACCTCATTGCCTCGAGGTTTGTTGTGGGCGCTTTGGGACAGTGTGATAGCACTTAGAAGGTAACCACCTAGCTGAAAAACATGAAGCATTATCAGAAGTTTAACAGACATGAATTCTTTAATATAAAAACAAGCATTAAATTGGATTTTGAAGACCTGCCATGCCTTTCACTTTTGCAGCCGTTCAGATAAAGGTACATTTCAAGCACAGGAGGGAGTGAATCGCCCACACCCAAGCACTGCACAAACCGAGGTGAAGACCAGGGAGCAGAAGAGTAATTTAAAGTGCACTGGAGCTGCAGCTGACTGTGCCCCTTGGAACAGAGCTCCATCTCAGAACTGGCATCAAATAGACTAAACGTTCATTAAAAGGAAAATATTTTGAATTTTATTTTTCACGTTATTATCAAGTACACAATTACAATAATGTCACACATCCCTATATGGTTCTATGTATTTTGTTTTTTTCTTTTGTCTTTTTTACAAAGTGTACAGAGGGAAGGACGTATACAATATTTAACAGGGTATTTTCTACAGAACAATAATTTATATTATGTCCTTGTAAAAATCTGTACCTTTTTTAAACATTAAACTGAAACATCCATCTTATAGCATTTGCTAAGCAAATTATTTAAGAATTAAAACTAACCTGTAACTAATGTCAGTACATTAACAATAACTATAATTTCATTTTCTCTTTATACAGACAAATACATTTTACAAAATCCACTTGACCAACCCCTCAATTATTTTAAAAAAAAAGTTGACATTGTGCTTAAAAAAAAAAAAGTGTGTATGATTCCAGGCTAAGTAAGAGAAAGAAAATGCGTAAAATTGTGTTCTTTGTCTTTCAGCTTATTTAACAAAACAAAGTTCAAAGTGGCTAAAAACCTCGGCAATACTATGGGGATTTATGCAGATTTTGTACACTTTTCAGGTTTCCAGTTAGAAAATGCTCGAACATAAGATGGGAAAAAGTAGTCACAGGCAGGTGCTTTGCAAGAAGCGAATGGGAACTCTCTGCTGGGTTTTACTGCATCTGATTTGGCATCAGCAGGCAATGGACAGCTACGGCCACATAGGAAATCCACTGGCTCCGCTGGGGATTTCAAGGAAGGCACAATGTAGCACAGGTATCACACGCTAGAGGCTCACGGCCGTTAGTAGCTACAGGATACAAGAGCACACTGGACAAGTCTGGGGGCACTGTCAAGCAGGCATTGGAAATAAAACCATCACACAACAGGCAGTGACATGGCATTCGACTCTCCTGGACGGCACGCTACAGACAAGTGCTTGGGCTAACGGAACAGAAGGGCTGAGCAGTTAGCAACAGGGCTTGGTAACAGAACAAAACACACACAGCTGAGAAGATGCACATATGAAAGGAAACCTCTGTCCCTTATTCACCCCAAACTTGAAATCATCACTGAAATTACTATTTGATTTCAGTGGGAAGCCTACCTGCCTAGAAACAGGCTTGGAACCCTTCCCAGTAGTGAACTGTTGCTTACAAATCTATGCTAATCTGGCAGGCAGCCAGGACCAAATCCTGCAATTCACCATCAAACCATGGCTTGGTTGGGAATCTGAGCAAGGGGAGCACGGCCAGGTCCTAAAACCTGGCATGGAATTAAGTGCTCTGCGGCTTTTGCTCCACAAGTGTTGTTAAGGTACATAACTTTGTGCTTGGTATGTTTATGTGGCAATTAGCAAATGACATGGCGCTACTTTATAATAGTCTTCAGGTGGCAAAATTGCAGATAATAATTGTAATGTTCTCCCAGCTGTTTATAAACAGATTAAAAGAACTGGGTTAATTCTGGATACTGTACTAATTAATAAACAGCAGCTGAACACATCTGCTAATGGCTCAGGAAAAACATTCAATTTAGTAGTAGAAGTGACTCTACCATAAGTTACTACTTCTATTAAGGATATCTATGTTACAACTTCTCTACTCCTTATGGACACCTCTGTTCCACCCCATCCCCCTCTGGAGCTCTCACTGTAAGTATCTGGTTTCCAAAATCGAGGCACCTCTTGGTCTTAAATTTTATTCTAAAACAATTCACAATAAAAATGTGACTCGAACCACAATGTTATTTCAAAGAAATACCAACATACATGAAAACAAAGTCTGAGGTACGTTTACCAGGACATACAGACAGTTGTGATCTATTATTAACTCTGCAAATGGAACAAGAGTATTTTACGTTTCCAACACTAAGACAGAAGCCAAAAGAACCCAACTCATTTGTAACACACAAAACCATTCAAAGACAAAGAAGCACAGAACAATAAATGTAATATCTGAGCATACTTTTAAATTTGCCCAAGAAAGACATAAAATGCCCCAAACCATTTTTTAAATAGTCTTCTCTGTGAAACCAGAATTAAAACACAAATAGTTTTCTGCAATGAAAGGAGATTTACAGCTCCTCAAATGGAAAATAGTTAACCTGCCACAAAGTCTGTATAGTAAGAACAAGACAATCAGGTGGAACCTAGTAACTTTACTGTCAACATGACAATTCCCCGTTTTATACACACCTCTGACAAATTCAAGAGAAATTCCCTATTTTTAAAATTCATGATAAAACTGCATTACATGGACACCGTGAATATCAACGAGGTCAGTAAGATAAATAAACTTAAATAAACTATTATGGTTGAAAAATTCAGTAAGAGACAGGGTTTACTTTATTAAATGCAACTTTATTGTTGCCATCTTTTCTTCATTTATTAAACAAACTGAATAGAATTCAGAACACGCTATTGAACAAAAGGTATAAAAGTCAACTAGAAGCAATAATCCTATTTTTATACAGCAACAAATCAAACGCACAGTATTTTTTTGTGGTTTTTTTCCTTTTTTTTTTTTTTTTTTTTTTTTGTGTGTGATCGCAGGTGATTGGCTTTAAAATAAGCTAACTGCCTGGAAGGCAAATTTCCTTTATAATTCCAGCCATAAGTCTGTGAGAGAGACTCTAAGGCAGCCCAACATCTTTATGATGTCGCATAATGTGCTGGTTCTTCTCTGAAGGCCTTCGGAAGCCTTTCTTGCAATACTCACAGCGGTGAGGGTAGTCTTTTGTGTGAATGGAAATGACATGCCGTTTGAAGCCTGAGGCGTCTGTAGTGCTATACTCACAGTACTCACACTGATAAACTTTCCTGCCACTGTGTGTTTTCATGTGTTTTTTCAGCTCGTTCTGTTGCCTAAAGCCCTTTCTACACCTCTTGCACCTGAAAGGAAGATCCTTTGTGTGAACTGAGAGTATGTGGCGACTCAGGATGAAGGGATCTGCAATCTTAAAGTCACAATGTCTGCACTGGTGCAATTTTTTACCTTTGTGAGCCGCCACGTGTTTTTTCAGTTCCGAAGGCCTGTGAAAGCCTTTATCGCACATATCACACTTATGAGGGTAGTCTTTCGTGTGCACTGAAATTATGTGTCGTTTCAGATCGCTCGAGTTTGAGCTCTTATGGTCACAATGCAAACACTGGTGTGTTTTACTTTCTTGATGCATAATCGTATGCTGCTGCAGCTCTTTGGTATCTGAAAAAGTCTGGAAACAGATATCGCACTTGAGTGGCGTTTCCTTGCTGTGTTTAGTCTTTACGTGGGTTTTCAGGTTGGAGGAGTCGGCGGATCGGTACTCGCAGTACTGGCACTCGTAGGGCTTCTCCCCAGTGTGGATTCGCATGTGCTTCTTCAGCTCCGACGGGTGGCGAAACCCTTTGCCACACTCCACGCAAATGTGGGGAAAGTTCTTGCTGTGCACAGCTAAAAGGTGGTGGCTCAGCAATCCTTGTTCCGCCGTCTCATAATCGCAGAATTTGCACTTGTGCATTTTATTAACTCCTTTGTCCCTGTGCACCATCTTGTGAGTAAATAAAGTCCCTGCGTGAGAGAAGGTTTTCCCGCACTCATCGCATTCCAGAAGCTTTTCTGTTTTGTTGGTCAACTTATGACTCTCCAAGTGGTTATGTAAACTTATTTTTTTATTCGTAGTGTAATCACAGTCTGTGCATCTGTATTTCTTCTTAGTGAGAAGGTGCTCCGGGTGGTTTTTCATGTGCCTTTTCAAGAAACCTCTAGATTTAAACTTCTTTCCACAAATCATGCAGGGGTAGACTGTCAACGGATGACCATCAGGGCCAATGATTATTGCTGAAAAACAACAAAAAACCTTTTACACTTCCAAAAATGTCAGATGTGAATTGTTGAGTGAGATCAGACACACACACACTTCACTGTACAATAAACAATCTTGTTACTGGGTCAGGTAGAAGAAATTGAGGGAATAGATTCTTTCATTCATTCTTATTACCAGGAGAAACTGTCTTGGAGGGGACAACCAAAGCATCACCCAGCTGTTCCGTACCTCAACTCTATTTTGAAGGATTCTGACTGAGTTCATACATTCAATACACACAGAAACCAACCCTGGTGCAAAGAACAGTGGCCAACTTGTTAAACTGAGTTCACCTAACAAGCAAAGCACATGATCTTCTTTGACTCTCCACAAATCTGTAGATAAAGTTTAATCTGGCAGTATAATCACCTACTGCTGACTACAACTCGATGGCCCCAAACTAACACCTCCTCCTTGTGCCATCTGTCACTGTTACAGTCTGAAGAGATACCAAGCAGAGATCAATGAGAACACATTTCACATACAAAAACACTACAAAGATTTGGAACCTATTTGCACTCATTCATCACCCTGATTTGTTTACCCTGAATTGGTCTAGGCATGTTGAGAAAGTTCTCTTTTCCAAAAATGCTTTATAAGGAGAAGGTAAGTAGGTGGAAATAGAAAAAGCCAACCTTAATATGTCCAGTTTACTGACTCAGTGCATTGTTCTATGTATTTTCAATAAAGACAAAAGAGTTTTAGAAAAGCACAATTAGAGAACACTATTTATCTAACATCACCTTTAAAAACATGCATTAAACATCAGAAGTGGTCTGGCAAGTTAAGTGCATGGGGTGTCTAACCTTTTGCTATGATACTGATTTCTTCTTGTGTCAGAGACAGTTTCCTCTAAAACTCCTGCCACAATCCAAGCTAAACATGTATTTATAATTTTTAACGTAAAATATGTACTCGTTTATAATGCAGAAGTGTTGTCAACCAATAATTCCCCAAATCACTGTTGCTACAAGACACTGCACATGCTATCAGCAAAGTGCATCTGGTGTGGGTAAATGCCTAGAGGAGTGAGCACACAGTCACCCCCCAGATACTCACCTGTCTGGTACTGCCTGTCAGGTCTCCTCTTTTTCTTTGGTTTTTGCTTGGCCAGTCTCCCCAGGCCAGATGACTCATCTATGTGCAAAAGAGCACTCGCAGTGCCATTCCGACTTTCGATGCCATCGTTATTGTTACCTACCAAGGCAAGTTACAAAGTTACCTACATCTCTAGTCATTCAAGCAAGCACTCTACACTGGTAACAGAAATAAATTACAAACTATTAGCTGGACATTTACTCAAACCATAACAATGTACAGCATGAGCTGCAAACGTCTCAGCACGTCACTGATGAATTGTATTTGGTGTTGTGAGCCTGTAACCATTGGCTTTGTTAACCTGATTTTACAGGAGTACATAACTTCCAGGGATTAATGGTTTTCCATTACACAGAGAGTTAAATGCAGCACTTTTTTTTTGCATTTCTCTGGTGGCTAATTGAATCCAAAACATTTAACATCAGTAAATCATAGCATGTCACAATATTTACTGTGCTAGATTTTCTTCTCAGTCCTGAAATACGTTCATGTGTGAGCTCCCACTCACTTCTGGATGTCTGAATTCACCTGACTCAAGTTTGTCACACACCAAGTTTCAGAACTGGAACCATGATCAAAGAATCCTTCTGAACAGCCCATAAACTTGCACATAGAGTACACTACTTACTGTCTGCACACCTGATGCTTTAGCACTTACAAATTCCTTCTACTGGGAACAAAGAGCATGTTCAGTGTTGTCTAACAGAAAGAAGGAAACAATCTTTGCCTCACAGAGCTCTGTGTTTAACACACAAATGGCATCACTGTATGTAAAACAAACATGAAAATTACAAGCAAATGTAACTCTACACATAAGAAGGTATTTACTGGCCATCAGTTTAACATTGGTGATTTAAGGGCATAACTAAACTTTAATAATAAATTTTGTGGTTAAGCATTTACTTGAATCAATAGAAGGCAACGGTTCCTAGTGAAAGCAAAGCACACAAACAAAAGTGGAAGAAAGCGTGAGATGCTCAATAGCTGCTCCTTTTTTAGAGTGCTGAGAATTAATATCCATGATTACTATAAGGAGACTCAGAGCCAGGCACAGGCATGTGCAGAGCCTGAACATTCTGATCTATGTGCTAGCTCAAGTGTCAAACAGCAAATGTGGCATGTTACAGAACCTGGAAACAAAAACCCATTTCACATCTTACATGTAGAAAGTGATTTGCAACAGGTTCCTGAAGAGCCTTTCTAGAGTGTAACACCAAACAGGCCCCAAACACTTTCTAATACTAGAATAAAACTGCAAAAACTTGCTGGAACATAAAGCACAGTGAGACTGAGCTTTGCTACAATAAAGCAACATAACAAATTTAGTATTTTAAGATGCCACTGCTATCAGCTCTTAAACCCTTGCAAAGTGGAAAAGAGTTCCAAGAAGTGCAGATGCCAAACCTCTGCTTTTCATGCCTTGATGCTTCATTCTTTCTCCCTGTCTCCACCATCTCTCACCCTCCATGCTCAATTGCTTACTGCTGACACTGCAACCACTCCACTACTTCCCACATTCTTAAACTTTCCTTTCAATTCCATCTCACTGTTCTTAATACACTGCTCAATTTTCTCCTTCTCCAAAATCACCGAATGGTCAGCATAGAATTACTGTTTCAAGTTCACTCAATTTCATTTTTAATTTCAATTCCCACTCAACTTGTTTTCTGACATTTCCTCTCCACTGAACTGTGCTCACCAGTATATGGCCTTGGGGGCACTGCCATCTATCCCCTAAACAACACACGCTGCTCCCTGAAATCTTGCCCTTCCTTGACTTATGTCCAAGATTCCAGCCCCCCACTGCATTCTCAGCACACCCCTGGCACCATCACCACAACCCACATCATGCAGATGTGCAAGTTTTGTCCTCTACTCCACTATTTCTTTTATTTAGAAGGAGAAAGTGGCAATACAGAAACATTTTTAAGATGAAATTTTGGTCTAAGCTTACGTAAGTTTTGGAAATCAGTTTATGCACCAGTTGGTGCCCAGATACCAATGATCAAGGAAGGAGGTTCTGCATGCTGGGAATACTCTCCAGGTTCTGCTAAAATTTTAGAATGAATCTCTCCAACTTCTTTTTGTTAATCAATTAATTATTTCCATTAGTGAAATCACATTTATATGTTCCTTCTAGAAAGCACTTAAATCAAGCTAGAGGTCAGTGTTGCTTTTCACTGTTTCACTGCATCCTACATATTCCCATTTGCCTTTTTTCCCCCAAATAAAAATACGAGTTCTATTCCCAAGACAGCTCTCAGTGTGCTCTAAAACTCTGAGGGACAGATGTACTTGAGATGCAATTTTTCAGCTGGAAGCTCATGTACTTCTCCTTTTACAATCATGAAAATATGAAGGAAAATGCCTCTTAAAATAGGAGCAAGAAGCAGCCTGCCTTACAGCTTCTCTCTTCTTCTCTTTTAAGGTGCATTATGCCAAGAAACCATTCTTAAACTGAGACCTTAAAAATGAACACAAAAGCTCAAATGCTCCATTACCTTCCAAAAACCAATCCCTGACACTTTGGTATTGACAGTGTCTCCAGGAAGAATTCTTTGAGTGTTACCTACCATAAGCTGCTGCCCAAGCTATGGGCATGAAAGTTTTGATTTCGGTGTCATCGATTTGCTGTTCGTGGGCTGCTGCAGCATCTTCCTCTCCTACAATCACCTCCATATAAACCTCATCGGCTATTTCGGCAACATCTAAGAGAAAAGGAAGTCAAGAAAAGATTAATAGGAAAACTGCACTGCTGAAAGTGAAAATCCCTGTTCCCAAAGGAAAGCCACCTACTTACTTAAGTCTTCATCTTCGTGCTGAGAATCATTTACAGTCATGTAAACCATTTTCTCCCTTGGAATACGAATACTGCTGTTTTGATCAAGTAATCCAACTGCGTGGTCATTCTCTGGCTCGCTCTCCACGATGTCTACTGTGCCCCCTAATTAGGAAAACCAGAGCAAAATATTTTAAATACACTTTGCTCAAAATCTGTGCTAAACTGCAAAAAACTGAAAGTTTGTCACTCTTTACTATCAGACCTACAGGTCTTTACAGACGACTTGAGAGAAACCACAGTCTCATTCAACATTTCACATGTCACGTTGGAGAATTCTAAAACAAGTGTATTTTACCTAAATCATCTTCTCCAGGGTCTGCTTTGAATATATAGACCTTGATGACTTCTGGACAAATGCCATCCACTTTACAAGAGCCACTTTCTGACTCTGCTTCCATGGTAATTTCAGCAGAACCTTCGTGTTCTATCTTACCAGCATCATCCACTACAAAAACAAGTTATTACAATTACCCAGTCATATGCAGACAGACACATATGAAAGACTTTATTACTCAAATGTGGAAGCAGTTTAAAGTTAAAAAGCTGCGATAAAGAACCTAGCCATAAATATTTTTTTCATATCCTTGAAAACAATGACAATAAGCATAAAAATAAATTCAAGCTGTTAACTTCTAGTTAGGGAGGAAGTGCAAGATTGCTGCAGTGCTAGGACTAGAAGCATAAGCACCACACCAGGCAAGGCTAATAAGGAAACTGATCTGCAGCAAGATGATGGTAAGAAGAAGCTGCGCATTAATACTTACTCTGTGGCAGAGTTTCACTTACTGTCACTATTAATTGCTTTCTCCTTCACAACTAATAAGCTATTAATTGTTCTTTTCAAAAGCATTATCTCTTGCTCAACCCTGTCTCTAACGCGCTACTACTGCTGCCTGTCAGACCTGGTTTCCTGCAAAGCAGTGTTGCTGATGTTTCTTCAGCTGCCTGGAGTGGAGACCTGAATGGAAACTACAGGAAGAAAACCCTCCAGTTTTCTCATCCACTCAACAGCTGAGGGATCAAGCACAGAGTCAAAGCACTGCCCTGATGCCACAGCACTGGTGAACCTATTTGAGATTGCTCCTGGTGCCCTCATGGACTGCGACTTGCACTGGACTTTCTACTGCAGCCCTAGGGACTCGCAAACTTTGTTCTCCTGCTTTCAGAGGGCACTGACACCATCCTCCAGCTTGTGGTCACAGCATCAAGCCTGACAGAGTTCAAGAAACACTTGGACAGTGCTCTCAGGCACATGACGTGATTCCTGGGGAAGTCTGTGCAGGGACGAGCTGGACTCGACGATCCTTGTGGGTCCCTTCCAACTCTGAATATTCTGTGATTCTGTGAATTGCCACAACTTGCCCAGGCCTCCCACACACACAAGGCTCAGAGCCAGCTTCACGAGGAACACGTTTCTGAATCCAAAGACATATGGCACATAGGCAGTGTGCACACACAGGCCCCATCCTACTTTACCAAGTAAGGGGTTTTCAAGAAAAAAATTACTAAATATCATTCGCAAAACCCAAATCTAGCATCTCATGCCCTTCAGAGAACCTCATGATTTTCAGAAGCCCCAGAAGTTTCGAGTGTTGAGATAATTCAAGAATTCTTAACATGACAGCATACTGTAAGTTGTGACTTTGTTGTTCATGAAGTCACTCCTGGAAGCTGACACGGCTCCCTCCGAGCATAACTGCACATCATGACAACAAGGCCTGAAATTTATACTGAAGAAAGTCTAAGAACTCTCCCAAAAATGCTGTAGAATTTTTAACTACCATGCCTAGCACACACAAAACAATAAAGTATGCTTATTATAGTAGCATTCATTAAACTACCCTCATAAATAAATCATGGCTTTACTCCTCAGTAACTTTCCATTTACTTTAAGACATACATTTAAAAAAAAGCTCAAACTATTTTCCTGCCATGAAGTCAATAAATTAGCCTTTAAATTAGATAAACTAGATACATGAGACAGAAATCAGGCTAACACAACTGTGTTTAACTGCAATTTCTCCATCAGGAATCATTATTCACAAAAAAATGTGAATAACATTAAATTATAAACCGCTAACAAAAATTAGTTTACCTCTCTCCTCACCAAGAGAGCAAGAGAAAAAACCTTAACTACTCTAATGTCAAGTTCATGATCAGTGGACATTGTACAGATTGTTTCAAGCAGTATGATGTCTAAAAATGACTTTGTGTCATGGAACAACATAATATGTTGTAGCTGAAACCACAAAGAATTTAAAAAGTAAAAGCCTCAAGATGTTCTTGTGAATCACGTGGACCTTGTAGCTCCAATATGTATTCAGTTATGGAGCACACTTTGATGACTCCTTTGTCATATCTATGAAACACCAAATGTCACTGGAATGCTAACAAAAAACAAACTAGCTTTTGTTCCTACACTACGTTTATGCAGTTGTTCTCCTCTAACTTGGTCGTTTCCAGGGTCAGGCATGTGTACTTGGAAGGCTTTCAAATCAGCATAGACTGATTTTACGCCGCTTGAGTCAAGAGGCAAGTCTGCCACCAAGACCAGCCAATGTTGGAACACACTCAGGAGGAAGGAAAATTATGGCTGAAGCAGTCAGAGAGCAAACAAGCCTATGTGCACCCCGTGGAAAGGCTGGTTCCTTTGAACCAAACCAGTTTTTTACATCCATACATATATGGAAGTATCCATTAATAACTTTCACACAGCAGAATTCTAGATCTTAAAAATATTCCATTTATGCTTGGAAATAAGTTCTCCAAGGTTCAAAGTAATCTTTTAAACAACATGATAAAAAAATCATACACAATTTAGAGTTTGTTTATCCCTGAATTCCCTCTATATTCAACAGTGTTTTAAATATGTAACAACTGGTTTAAATATTTTTTTAACGGAGTCATTAAACTGTAAGGAAATTGATGCGTAGGAGTATGAGCCCAACTATTCCCATCCAAAAAGAAAAAAATTTCACTCTTGACAGGTGGCAATACTTACACAACTAGAAAAACAGTATTATTTACAGTATAGTAGCAAACAGGTAACAGGAAGAAAAGTAGAGTGGAAAGGAAAAGGTAGGAAAAAGGATAAAAATCAAAGGAAGAGACAAACAAGGTGAAAGAGAATGGGTATCTATCTATTACAGAAAGTACCATCTCCAAGGTATTTTGTCCTACAGCTACCTAAGCATTTATCTGTACTGATTCACTGATGCTCTGGCAGCATTTATGAAATTTGATTTCTATTTAACACTTGCCCTATGTTTCTGCATTCTGCACATATCTCAGCCTCACAATCAGAGAAAATGATATTCATAAATACTTGACTGATCAATGTTTCATGTTGGAACTCTGATGAATTTTTCATTTGAATTCATGGCCCATCAAGGGATCCCACAAATACCATACATGGCTGACACTCTCTCACATTGCTCCTCTCTGACATCACAAGAGAAAAAAAAAAAAAGGGCACCAAAAGTACTTAAAAGTACTAGTTAAGCTTCTAAGAGACCATTCACTTTCAAGCACAGCCGCTGGGCATTACCAAACTAATCACAAGTCACATGCTAGAGAAAAGTTCAGGCCAGTGTGATCCCAGTGCTGCCATACCTTCTGCCTCCATTTTATTACAGATTAACTGAATACTAAAAACTTCAAGTGTATGTTTTTCCCCCCCTCTACTGGCTGGTAGCTTTACTTCAATAAACAAGTGGATTCAGACCAATTCTCAGAGACAAAAAAAGGAAACTGACTACACGCAACATTATTCTATGCAAATTGAAGAATGCAGCCCATGGTTAGTCTGCTGACGTCCTTCACCGATTAGAGCAGCCTGCTCTTTGCATACCGTGAGCTGCAAGAAACAATTAAGTGACTATGTGCTTCTCCAATGTTGCAATAATTGCCTCCATACAAAGATAATGCTAGAATTGTTATTAAAAGCACAAGCAGACGAGAAAGGTGTCACACAACAGGAAGACGTGGCATATTTAAACCCTGTCGAGTTAGCATTCACATTACCAGGAAATCAACAAAAAGACACCAACAGATAAAAGAAGGAATAAAGGGTAAAGCAAAGAAATAAGAGACAGGCAACATTAGCAACAGATTCTTTGTATAATGTGTTCTATCATGGTGACAGCATTTGTCTCCTAGAAAATATTAACCTTCATAAAAAAGTCATATAATACAATAAACTGTAACATCCAAGGAATAATTATCTCCTCCACCTTCACCCTCCTATTAAAATATGTCCAATGGCATTTCTGGGACAGAATGCATTTAGTCCTATGCATTGATAATAAAAAACATATTTAAAATCCTGTTGAGGTCAGTTTCCCCATTCCCCACAAATGCTAGGCCAAGATCCTGCAAACTGCGTTTGCTAAAATGGTACATCTTTTGTTTAACCACAACACATACATTTTCCCCAAGGAGTTGTTTTTAGTTTTTTATATCAAGTATTTGATGGATGGGCAGATATAGGCTTTGTAGCCTTTCAATCTTTTACTCCTAACTAGAACTGCTTAAATTTATTCTTTCCTACCATTTCACCTCTACTAATGAAGAAAATAAAAGGACAGTAGAAGACAAAATTCTCTTAACCACAAAGAAACCTTCCATTTTTTTCAAGTACACACTCCTCATTGATAAAAACTACACCAGAACAGTCCTTACAAGCCAAACAAAAGTCTCTCCATACCAGTTTAAGAGATCCTAAAATGTGTCAGTGGAGCAATTAGGCAGAATTATCTATTTTGTCAGGCTTTATGTTCCCAAATGGTTACCTTAACTGCTAAAAAATGCATATAATGGGACTCTTATCTGCTTACAAAATAAACAACTCTATTTAATCACACTTAATGAATAAGGCAACTAACTACTCTGTTCTCTCTAACATAGATTAAAAGCATTCTGCACTCCCCACGCTTTGTTCAGTTATCTGTGATAGAAACATTTTACTTCTCCTTGACTAAATAGCACACAATTCCTAGTCCACTGAGTAAGCTATTTTTACTGTCCAGTTATTCCTGGAGAGAAATAAGAAAACTGCTCTATCCTGTGTGTCTGATGGTCCCCCAGTATTTCCTGAGCTCTAAACTGGAATCTAACACTTGTCCTTCTTGTCCTGCTCTCCCCAGCACACAAACCAGAGTAAGCTCTGAGGCATCACTCAGCCCGGGGGAATGCTCATCTCAGTCACCTCTCGCGGTGACCTCTGAGCAGCCTGTTGGTGCCATCCCAGCCCTCTGACAGAAGCCTGGCAGCAAGTTCTATCTCAGAGAAAGAACAATGTGACTTCATGCATCTTTAAGAACCTCCAGAAAACAGAGGGAGGTACTTATTGATGCTAAAAAATATACAAAAACCATTTTGTTTTCTTGACTAGAAGTCTACTGGATGGCGCTAAGGAAAGTGTGAACTTTATGGCTTTGTGCATCAGATCCATTGCTTTCAACTTAAACATCCAACAAGGATGAAACAAATATAGGTTTCACCTAGACCTGTGAGAAGACACAAGTCATTCTCTCTCTTTGAGTACCCTGTGCTCTAAGTCCTGCAATGAAAAGTGCTAATTCAGATACAACAAGAGACATGTCTCACTCAGAGAAAAGTAAGGATATGGATGGACATAACACAGCTCCCGCATTAACAAATATTTAACTTCTCAAAAGTGCAGTTTAAACTTTGTGAGCCTCCCCCTGTCAAACCTCCTCTGTGCCTCACCATTTTTACTGCAATGAGTATACCAGGGCACAACTCTTCATCTATGGAATGAGTTCATGCCAGAGGATATGTCTATCTTCGTGCAATTGAATGAAATCAGACAAACAAAAACTCAATTTCCATCTTATTAGCCAACTCTCTTCTGTTAGTAAATACAAGGATTTTGTTTTGTTTTGACAAACAATAGCTAATCTCACCACTACCTTTTCACTTATGGAGAGATGACTGTCCAAGCTACCAAACAATAAGTATCAGTGTGAGTCACAGCACAGTTTATACTTTCCTGACCCAACTCATGAACTGGCTTGTTATGGAACATGGAAAAGAAAAAAAGATGATTTATCAAAACTCCTTGAAACTTTTTCAGGCTACTAAATAGTAGCAGTTTGCATTCTTTGTTGAATGAGTATCTGATTCTGCTCTGCCGTAAGCGCCCCAAATCTACCAAAAAAATGAATCTTGAGGGCAAAGACCAAGTATCCAAGAAAAAAGTAAGTACATCGAAAGGTAACTGATGATATAAAGCTGTGCCAAGAAGCATTATCTTGGAAATTAAAAAAAGCAAAGGGAGATCAATGCTGAAGCTAAAGTAAATCTAAATGGGAAAAGAAATATTAAAATCCTGAGCTTATTGAAGCAAGGTCACAGAATGAAAACCACAGGGACCATGATCTTCAAAGACAAGACAGTCTGGATCCAAGCAAGAAGGTAGAAACACAACATTAAAAATGTATACATAGATCAGTAATTTAAAATCAGGTATTTTCAAGATAAACCTAAGATAATTATCTTAAGAAAATCTATGCAGACTCACTTCATTAGGAACAAAAATGGAAATGCTTCAAGAGAGCCACAAGATAGGAAAAAGAGCAATAAGATTCTGCCAGTAGCTTCCACTGAAGAACACAGACTGAGAAACCTATGACAGAAAGAATACAAAGTGCCATCCCCTGCCTTGCCAGTGCTTATCGAAAAGAACAGGCAAAGGCACTCTGCAGAACACAGTCTAGCTCCCAGATGTGGGAAGCAGCAACATTTGGCAACTGTCATGGCAGACGAGATTACATTCCAACATCTGCCCCTGCAGTCCAGGGTGGTTTGCCAGAATCAAAAATGAATTTACAGGTTAGGATGAAAAAATCCCAAACCAGTCTGATGTTACTACCTTTTAGAAACCACCTAATAAGTTCAGCTGAAAAAGTGAGACAGGCAATAGATCAATGAAAACATGCAGTGCCCATGCAAAAAAAACAAATAGAAGAAAAAATTAATTCAAATAATGGTTTCCATATAACAAAGAGACTATTTGGCAAGACAGCCTTTACTTGATGGAAAAGCACTAGACTCTGCCTTCACAACCAGAAGAACTTGTTATGCAGGCTTTAAACACAGTAGGTGGTAGTGGGGAACTTCCCTCCAAAATGAACTGTGGAACATACTTTAAATTTTAAACATTAATAGAAAGGATGCAGTTTTGTAGCATAAAGATTGTTTTAAATGCTGCCTTACTTATGGTTTTGAATCTAAACAAAGTACATTGCAAGTCCATCACGAAGTATGAAACTGAAGAAATACATGACTGAAAATGGAGAGTTATCCCAGCACAACTGAACAATTCCAATCCCTTGTTTCCTGCCAGTCACCACCTGTTGATGACTGGTACACCTAAGAAGACTTCCCAGCTAGGTAGGGATCATCCAACACAGCCTCTACCAAGACAAGCTGTCCTCATTCAGCCACTGCCAACAGGCCACACATCTACCCACCCTCTCCCTTGCAGTTACACAGACACTGTTTGCAAAGTGCCCCTATGACAGCAGCCCCAGAGGCCTCTGCTGCAGGAGGATAACCTGCAGAGAAAGGGTGAGCCAAGACAGCAACAGCACCTTAAAGAGCTACATTCAGGGATAAGGAACTGGTCAGGATCACCACCAGAGCTAGGCCTTCATTATCCACAGGTGGATTATCCAGTTTGTTGTCTAACTATGCTGTGGGTGCAAAGCAACTGAGCTGCTTTCATCTGATCTAACTTGGGTCCAGAATCAGAAAGGTAGATCTGTGTCACACCTGACAAAGTGCATTTATCAGTTTGGATCAATAACATTTCAGAGAGCAGCACCTCTGACCTATTTCACCTCAGTACAATCCTGCAGCTTAATTTTACAACACTTTGTGTTATCCATATTTTGCATTATCCCATTTGTTTTCCCAGATAATAGAGAATTAACTGTACCTCATACAAACTCAAAACATGGCTGCACAAGGTTACTCAAGGAACTCAAGAGATGGTAAATTAAGAAATGCAGTGATCCTAGGTAAGGAGAAGCAACATTAAAATCCATAAGTACAGAATGTAAAATTAAAACAAGTTATTATACATTTCAAAAATGTGTCCAAAAAATAAAAAGGGAGAAAAAAAGGAGGGGAAAAAGAGGGGAAAATAAAAGGAAGGAAAAAAGGAAAAAAATGGTTAGTGAAGCAGAGCATGAAGTATACCTCATCAGTGGAGTCATTTAACACTAGACAACACTGAAGTGCCTGAAATGGCAATTAAACAAACCAGCCTAACAAAGCTCTTCTATTTCTATGACAAACAAATGTTCAGCAGTGACACTCTGATGTTCCTAGGTGCTGCATGGAGTAATCACTATAGTAAGTAACATACTTAGAGTAAGCTCTAGTTCACACAAATGGATATCCTCAGTAGAAAAAGGATTGATGACATGCTCTTGTTTTTCTCCACCCTCTATTTAAGTCTTCTGAAATACGATTCAAATGGATTGTGCCACTGTTCCTATGGGAGATTAAGATATTCACAGTTGCTTCTGAGTTATGAGCAGCAATAGCTCCTCTTTTTGTTAGCTGCATACCTCTGTCCTTTGCTTAATGGAAAGAAGAAAACACATCCTAACAGCAAAGAAAACCATACTGTTCTCTGTATCTAACAATAAATGGGGTGCCAGGAGTAGGGGCTTAGCAATAATAACAACGCAAGGAAAACAAACTGTTGCTTGGACTTCCAAAAACCTGGGGTTTTACTCTTCCTTCTCCATGCAATATTTTTGTTTTCTCAATGTCTTGGCAGTAATCTCAGTAACCTGCACATATATGCGTTTCCCAGCAGTCACATTTATTTTCTTTTATTTCTTACTAGTATATGGCATTTGGTTTACTGGAATTCTTACTCGTTTGTTCATATGCTATAAATTGCTACAGAAATAATTTATAATCAGACATGCATTTGCCAGTATTTCTCTCCATTAGCTTCACCAGAACCTTGAGCTGGTACATGTTCCTAAAAATCCCCCCATTTGAGTGCATTTGCATTTCAATAAAAAATACAGAAAATCTGTTTTGGGTGCTGTCTTAAGCTCTCCCTCAGATATTTCAAGCACACCCAGGCCCATATCACCAGAGTTTTGATGGCTTTACCCAAACACTTACGGGAAATCATAAGGTAATCATCGCAGTTGCCCTTCTCATCTTGATGTTCCACAGGGATTCCATTGGCATCGATCACTGCCTCTGAAGCACAGTCTGCCACCAGGACTTCCTCAGAAACAACATCTGTTCCCAGAGTATCAGTGACAATATCTGCTTCTTCAACACTATCGTGAACTACATGTTCTACATGTCCAACTTCAGGTATATGCATTGACTCACTTGTCAGTACATGTTCCGGGATAGACATTGTTTCTGCTGTTATATCAGAAGCTAAAACATCATCTGGGACAGTGCAATGAGCCAAAGAAACCTCTTCGGCTACGTCTGTGTCCAGCACTTGCTCCGGAATAATGACAGTTTCGGATACATCTGGCTCCTCCATGATATCAGGGCACTGAACATCCTCGATAACAACATCCTCAATGACATCCTGGATTACTACAGAGTCTGGATCGTCAGGAACAAAATTATGCACGGTTATATCTGAGTCGACTACATCTGAAACAAATACTGTTTCCTGTACTTCCACAACAATCTGATCTCCATCCATATGTGCTGCATCAGCTCCTGAAAAACATGATTAAAACAGCAGTTAAATTGTAAAACTGTCTAAGATCAGGTGGTTAATAATTGAAATTACTTCTGTTTCACTTCAACTTTTACACTATGCTGCAATTTAGTAAAACAGGATAATAGCATATGAGCAATTAAGATAGGCAGATAAATGGGATAAAGCTCAGTAGATGCTAACACAACTAAGACGAACAAGGTTTTCTCTCCTAGAAAAGATTAGCAATTTTTAGACTCTCCCCCAATATCCTAACAAGTACTACTTGACAGAAAGAACAGTAGCTCAATTCATATTGCTCTGAGTAATAAAAACAACCCAAACTCTAAAGCGACTGCTCTAGACAAAGGATTAGATGCAGCACAGCACTTTTAAGCAAAGACAAAATAAACAACAGTCAATTGCATCTAATGCGAATACTCTTATCTACATATTATCTCCTGACAGACCTGTTGGATCAAAAAATGCATTTGGCTCATGTGGCTGCAATTCAAGCCCATCTTCATCCATGGCCTTTAACTCTCATCAGTCACAGTGTCTGTAGAAGGCAAAGAAGAAAGGTTATTTAACTTGTATTAGGTGCAGAAGGTTGCCTCTGCCTGTGCACTGAAAAGCTGAAATTCTGGGTGCATGGAAGTTAACACATAGCACCTCATGACTTTAAGATGAACCCAATTTCACTGAGGGTCCCTCTGTCTGGGATTCCAGCAATACTGCTCCAGAACACCCAACACCCAGGCCTGAGTAACAGGAGTCTAACGCTCTGGGTCTGTCTCTCAAAACCCCACAGCTCCATAAACACAGCTCATAAAAAAATGCAAAAACATGATTTCCTTGTCATCTTATAAAGAAAAAGGAAATCAAGACAAAGCCTAGATGAGTTCACACTCAAGTCCTTACTGCATGGTAGGAAATACAGCACTGTCAAATCAGTAAGGCTCCATAAAGTAAGTTAAACATAGACAGCTGATAATCTGAAATGCACAGTGGGTTTGATGTCCTCAAGTTCATACTTGGGCAGTCAGGAGGAATTTGCTCTTATGTCACTTCAGGAATTGAAATCATCAATGTAATCTGTTTTCAGAAAGTAACAGCATATGTTTTCAAACTCCAGATCTGTGAATACTTCAAAACCTCTTGCTTCAAGGCAAAGTACCTATTTGCCTTTGTATTCAAAAATATCACCAGTTCTCAAGAATTACCAAATGTCATGTTCTACCAAATTTTTTGTACAGAATGTCAACACTTCTTCAATGCATCGTAACTTACGATTTCAAGCTTCTTAACGAAAGAATCAAACAAGACCACAAAGTTAAAATACTTACTAAAACATGAAACTGCAATCTAAATTTTGCTGCTTACATATGTGCATTATAATTGGGATCAGGCAACCTAGTTAGGAAACTAGTTGGACTGAGTGCAAGGGAGTAGTAGAAGTCTATGCTGGATCACATTTGACCTAAGAGCAGAACCAGCAAGAGGCAACAGAAAGTTGCTCCCATGTTTATGCTCATGTTTTTGTACAAGTGGAAGATGTGATTTTCCTTCCTCCAAACGTTTTTCCCAATGACAAGCAGAAATCTCCTCATTTCTGTAATACTTTCACAAAAGATGGTGAAAACATTAAGATTCTATCCAAGGTTTCCATAAGAGTCATAAAATTTCCAGACTACGTCAACATTTACATTCATTAAGTCTTTACAGGGGAAACTGCTATATGAAAGATTAACTAGTCCAAAACACAAACCCAAAACTATAATCTATAGCAAGTATTTTCTAAACTTCCCCATTTTTTAGCTCCACTTTTCTCAATTCTTCACCTCTGGAACTCTCCCTTGGGACACTGTCCAGACTCTGGAGCATTCACTTGGGCCCTGTCCCCTGTACAACTTGAGGGAGAAACGCAACCAGAAACTGAGCTGGAGGAAAAGCAGTGGCAGACAAATCATATTCCAAGGGGTCTCATATTTGTATGATGCTCAGCTGGAAGGCCTCTATATTTTAGAGACAGCCACACTAACAAATCACTGTGGTATCCAGCTGGACATAAATCACCTCCCAGTTATTCTGCCAAGCATTTCTGTCGGAAGCACGTGCTATTAACAGGAACAGCTCTTCACACAGATGATCTTTTTCCAGAACCAAGAACAGAAGAAAAGCACTTTTCAGCCTTAAATCCAAGAAATAGCTTGACTGATGGCAATCAACTTCTGCCATGCCACAGAGACCAGAACAGAATAACAAGGTTCCATACAGTCATTTAAGCATGAATTACTCACACCAAAGTGGTTTCCTTCCATCTATTCAGCACACACCTAGCCAGTCTACAACAAATGTCCTTCCTATTCAGCTTGTCATATTTTGTCTGTTGTCTTCACTGTTTAGTTTCTTCTTTTTTGTTGCTTCTTCTCCAACTTCTCATGTGCCAGTACTTGTATTATGTCCATTACCTCCTCACACGCTCACTTCACCTTTCCAGCTTCAGAACTGCAGCACACTCCCATGATTCACACAAAAACCTTCTACTCATCAATTTGTATACAAGATTGTATCAGCAATTTGGAGACTCTTTTGCAGGAGGCAGAGGGGATTAAGGGTTGGTGGAAGAACACTGTCTCTCTTCAGGCAACACGCAGAGGAAGTTGGAACTCGCTCTCCAGCTCTCTGGGAAAAGTCAAGATGCCCTTTGTGCCTGTGCTTTTGAGGACTGTATTATCATACACATCAGTCTCCAATGGGCAGTGAACCAACCAGCTTTAAGTGTCAGTTCACCACTAGCTACTGGAAGAACTGGCATTCATTTTCCCCACTTCCTGCTTTCACCACCTACCTGACCATCACTCTGCCACAAATTCCTATGATTCATGCATGTACTTTCTCTGTCCAATCCTCTCTCCAAATCCCTCACTGTCTCTGTAAGTGAGGCACTCCTTTGCTGTCCTTCCGTCCCTCCTCTTCACCCATGAGACACAGAGGCTTCCACGACTACTTCCCACCTTCCCAAATGTGCCTGCTGACACCTCTTCCCTGCTCCTCTCACTGCTGCCCTGCATTCCAGGCAACAGAAGCTAAACCCAACGAGTCTCTGTGGTCACCATGGTGCAGTTCCACAAGACACTGCCACCAGCAGTGACATCCCAGCAGACCCTTCACTTGCACACAGTGTAGTAGTGTGGCCTCCTCTGTACTGGCCCAGACTTCTCACCTACAGCAGCATAACATTCTGCAAAACAAAGGCTCAGGCTCTACACAAATGAAGGTATTTCTTGGGCTTTCAAGACAATCTTAAAAAGACCACAAATGTTTGCTTTGATGCTTGTTCCAAAGAAGAAAAAAACTTCACTTTCACTCAATGAGTCACTTACTAAAGGTTTCTCATAATGTGCTTTTGCACCCAGACCCTGCCAACAAATTAATATACACTAATTCTTGCCCCTGTGAGGGACCATAAAGACTTTAAAAGTGCTCCACAAGTGAATAGGCCCCACATCCACAGAAATCTGCTGCAGGAAGAGAACCGGAAAAGGATGTAGGCACTCAAGACAGGAACTAACTTAACGATCTAAAAGAATAAAGGTGCCCAAAACAAAATCTGCAGTCTGAAAGGGCATCAAGTAATTGGTACATGATTGAGGTAAAAACACAACAAAACAATTCCTGAAAACACCTCAGGGTTTGAACACTCTAACCAGGAGATGAGGAAATACTGTTTCTTCCTACTTGCTCTTCTTCTGAGCAGTGGGTCAGCACAGGGGCACAAGATGTAGCCACATAAAGGAAGCAACACCACACGGCTCTGTGACAGAGAAATACCAGAGCTTCTTGTTGCAAGCGCCACAGTGAACATCTTCAAATTCCTTGGCAAACACCCTAGGCTCTGTGGTACCATAAGGCTAAGAAGCAATTCCAGCAGTTAATTTTCCTGCATCATTTCAACAAGCGTGGAAACTCCTCTCAGTTCTCTCAAAGCATTCCAGCTGACACTTACCTCAGGAGCAGATTCTGGCATTGAAGCCAACAGTTCTGGTTTGGGAACCCAAACTCTGAAAGCAGAGCTGGTGACCAGCCATGGCCCTGCACTGAGTCCCTCTCGACTATGTGGCTCTTTGTTCAAATCTCAGCAGTTCTGGAAATGCTCTTCCACCACTATGCCAAAAAAAAGCCAAGGCACCCAGAATCAGGTTTTGTATCTCTCGAGAGAGCTCAACATCCACACCTTTTCCTTGGCTTGGGTCTATGCCAGCTTCATGTGGATTGAAAATTGGTACAGCCCTGAAATACTCTTCATGAAGTTAGCTTTTACAAATTGATTTTTACCTATTTATTCAGACTTGGATGGTTTGGGTTCTCTCAAAGTCAAGGCAATATTTTAAAGTGCAAGGACAGATGGAAAATTACTTATTAATGGAAGAATTGGTATTAATGTATTACCAACAAAATAACCTTCCAAAATAAAAGTGATCACGTGACCAAACAGTCAAGAGAAGCAATGCAGACAGTGCACTAGTCCTACCCCATTACAGATCCTTGACTCAATAGACCTAGCAAGGTAATCGACATGAAATAAAAAGAAATAAACGAGCTGTCAAGTTTTAAAGAGAGAGCAACTTTAAAAAGAGTTCCTCAGAAGAGCTTTGATATTCCACAGAAACTGTCAGTTTTCTGCTCTCACCGAAAAAGTGAAAAAAGAAAGAGGGGAAACTTCAGAAAAGCCATCCTTATAAAGAAAGGATAGTCCTTTGCCTGCTCTTAACTTGTGATAAGGGTGTAAACCAAACATCCACGCAGCAAAACTCTGACCCTTCCCAGAAAAATCAAGGCATCAACAGCAAAATTCCCCACGTGCATGTGTGGCCCCAGCCCACGCTGGGATGGCTCAGTGCACAACCAAGTTCCCACCGCGCCTTGGCACATCCCACGGGAAGTTGCAGCACGCCCTGCCCGTCCCAGCGGGGCTGGAGCCCAGCGCCGCCCCAGGCCTCGCACACAGCTCCGGGCTCAGCCTCTGCTGCAGTGTCACAACTCTCCTGACGTGACCCACTTTGGGAACGCGAGGGACACAGCCACGACACGCGAGAGGCAGAGAAATTACACTGCTGTGGTCTCTGATTCTCGCCCTGGACATTAACGCGCTGTTGTCATTAGGTGGACAAATGGAAGAATAAAAACGATGTTACAAGGGTGACAGTGTAATCATTCAGCTGTTTATTTCTTGACGCATCTCCCTCAGTTTCGGCAGGAGAATCAGCGCTGCTGTTTTCACAGCGATTTCGTAAAAAAAAAAAAACCAAAACCAACCCTCAATCTTTTCCTCTTCTTCGTAGTTCACTGGTGGCTATTTGCAGAAACTGGGTAAAGAAATGGCTTTTCTCCAGGTTTCATGGGGATGCTGCGCGTCGGGCGACACCTGAGCTAATTCTTAACGGCACCTCAACCAGGGGAATAACCCACCCCGAGCGTCCCTCTG